CATTTGGGCACAATTCCCTTACAAAAATATCAAATATTTTTTTGATAACCGTGGATGTCGGGATCAGCTTATGCGCACTTCGACTAATCCCACGGGGCCCTGAAGTTTACGGTCAGATACTAACCTTAGTGGTCCTGAGGGGATTCGAACAAAAATATCATATTTTTAACTGGGCAACTCACTAAATTACAGCTCATAGTACTCTCCAAGTCTCCTAGTCACCATAGGGGTTGTATGAGGCCCAACTCATTGAATTTTTTTTTATATATATATTAGTCTGGCTTATAATTCGGTCTTGGATCTGTTCCTGTGTTGTACCATGTATATTAACCACGATGGGCGGAATTTGGTCATCATATGGTAATATATATCCAAGAGCCCAAGTCTTGAAATTAATGATGTGGAATGCAATTATAGTCATTATATTATTTTTTTCCTTGTATAAGCACATTGGACATTATCCCATTTATAAACTGACGAGTACTACTTAAAAATGATTGTAACAATTGATAACAAAGCAAGCATTCCATTTTTTGGGACCTTTTACAATGTGGAGACATGAAGAGGATTACTTTTAGAAAAGGAATGGGTTACCGATTGGGTAAAATAGGCCACCGTGTTGAGGGGAAGGGACAACCCCGGGATTGAAATATAACACGCTGAAGGTGGAATTATACAAAGCTCAAGCTCACCAACTCCATCAAATCTACGTGCATGTTTAGACACTTAAACAAGAAATTAATACAATAAAATGTGTGAGTAATTTAAAGCTATGTACCAAATACGTCATATATGTCAACTCCAAAAGTAGATGATATTGCATATAGTAATCAGAACTCAACGAATGCAACAGAATAATGAGAAGAAATTTCCAGCATTAGATTAGTATACACACAGCTACTGCTGAAGTTTGGTTTTCATTGATCAAACTTTCTACTTGCCGCCATGTTTAAATCTTCATCTCTCTCCAAGATCCATTGATTTGAAATGAAATCATTTATCATTTCTGATGAGTATAAGTGTATTAAGGCCGAGCTTGACCTAGACCCCTGAACTTAACTCC